TGTGAAGGTGTCAGATCCCTTGGAACTGGTGTTACAGACAGTTGTGAGCTGCTATATGAGTGCTGGGAATTGAACTCGGGTTCTTTGGAAGAGCAGACAGCACTTTTATTTTTTTTTTTTTTTTTTTTTTTGAGGTTTAATTAGTATTTTTTTTTTTTAAATTTTTTTATTTTTATTTTATTTTTCGTTTTAGTTACATTTTGTTAACTCTGTGTCCCAGCTGTATCCCGCTCCCTCATTCCCTCCCCAACCCCACACTCCCTCCCTGGTCTCCTCCCTGCCCCTTTCCAAGTCCCCTGATAGACAGCACTTTTAACCACTAAGCCATCTCTCCAGCGCCAGCAGTATTTCTCAATCCAATACTTCACTTGATAGATTATGTGTTTTTCATCATCTAATTCTTTATAGTACTATCTAAATGAATTTTTGTTTTACAATTATATACACAATCATTTAATGAAGTAAAAGTAGTCACAGTTCTTTTTAATAATAGAAAAGTAGGAAAATGGCATTCTGTTTTTAGTTAATACATTTTGAAGATAGTTTCATAGTCTATTATTCATTATGTTTTTTCTCTGTAATTTTAGACTCTGAACAAATTGCTCAAAGAACAGTTCAAGAATCCATGTGCCCGTGTGAGGATTTGTACTACTGTTTTACATTAGCATCCTCTTGCTTTCTTCTCTCTCTCCCTCCCTCCCCTGTTCTCTCTTTCTCTCCATACATGTACGTATGTGTGTGTTTGTATATATATCTGTACAAATATACATGCATATATATATGTATATATATGCATAGACAGCCAATTTAACAATAGCCAAAAATTGTTCATAATATGGGATTCTAATCAAAATTCTATTTACATGGTTAAGTAACATTCAACATGTTTTAGGTATTAAAAATTCTACAAATATTTGTGGGTTTTTTTGAGGCACACACACAATATATATATATACATATATATGTATATAATATTATATTATATGTTATATATAATATTATATATTATATGTAATATAATGTTATATATAATATATTATATATATCTATATATAATATTATATAATATATAATCCACATATATAAATTAAACATAGCATATATTCCATTAATATATTTTCAACCACCTGAAATTGCACTGACGATGAGGGTTGTCATAACTTACTTAATTGTGTATTTCTGTGTAGTTTCTATGATCAAGTTTTATTCTTACATTGCAGATAATAGTTCTCATAGATGGGTACTGTCCCACTGACACCCTACCATAGCCTAATTTACAATCCACTTCACAGTTCAACTTCTTCAGCTGTAGCAGTGATATTGTTGGCAGCTAATTGATTCTCATCACCCGCCTTTGATCATGTATGTAATCTGGTCATGCAATGTGTTTAGTTGTATTTACTTCTTTGTTTATAAATAAAATGTTTGATATATGTATCTAAAAGCTTACATCCACTCAGTAATGACCTGGATAATGTCCTGATTTCAAGCAATATCTGCTCTCTGACTGTTGTTCCAAGATTACGGACATGAGCCAAAAGATTTCTAACCAAATCCCTTAGGATTATAAATATCTGTGCTAAGAGCATTACTACTCAGCCTTACAACTATGTCCTAGCCATGAATCTTGGCATTCCTGTCAGATGTGGTCCAAGAAAGAAGGCCGTGCTTGTATCAACATCTTACAGTTTTGACAAGTAAAGCTTTGTGATTTGGCTTCTGTTATGAGTCACTTGATCTAGAGCTGAAGGGATAGCGTTTGAATGTGGCTTCCTTGCAAGATTTCATATTGCACTCTAATCCCAACCCTTGGGGAATATTTAACAGGATGCCACCGTAGTGAATGCTTAGTTAAGATTAGTATCTCCATAAAAACAGAACTCGAGATATCTAAAAAGAAAATGTTAATTCTCATTATTGAAAAAAAGCATATTTCTGAAGGCTTTATAGCTGCTTTTAAGACTCCAATATAAAGCTACTGTGGATGATTCCTTGCCCATTAAAAAGGGCAAAAAGAACGATAAAGCATGTACAGTGTTTCTAGTGTCTAAAGCATGTTGGGTTTAGCTTAATTCTTTATGTTGCATTATCATAAGAGCTATAAGTTATGAATGGGTCCCTTTCGGGCTACTTCTGTAAGGAGCATTTGTGAGTCTCAGACCATATTCCTTCCTCTTTGTCAAGCCAAAATAGAAGAAAATAGCAACAAAACCTCATCGATTTTGTTGGCTTTGAGTGTATCTAATATTTTATGAAAACATATAAACCTACCAAAACAGGCTTTTTTTTAATTTTTATTTTTTAATATTAGAGTTTATCCACTTTGTATCTCAGACGTAGCCCTCCCTCCTGCCCCCCCAATCCCACCCTCCCTCATCTCCTCCCATGCCTCTCTCCCAGTCCCCTTCCATCTGACCCTAGCCTATTAGGTCTCATCAGGACTAGCTGCATTGTCTTCCTCTGAGGCCTGGCAAGGCTGTTCCCCTCCTCAGAGAGCCAGCCAATGAGTTCATGTCAGAGACAGTCCCTCTTCCTCTTACTAGGGAACCCACTTAGACTCTGAGCTGCCAAGGGCTACATCTGTGCAGGGGTTCTAGGTTATATCCATGCATGGTCCTTGGTTGGAGTATCGGTCTCAGAAAAGACCCTGTGCTCAGATTTCTTGGTTCTGTTGCTTTCCTTGTAGAGCTCCTATCCCCTCCAGGTCTTTCTATCACCCCTTCTTTCATAAGATTCCCTGCACTCTGCTTGGCTATGAGTCTCAGCATCTGCTTTGATACCCTGCTGGGTAGAGTCTTTCAGAGGCCCTCTGTGGTAGGCTTCTGTCCTGTTTCCTGTTCCATGCCAATTCATAAGAGAAACTAGCCTTCATACAAGAAATTAGCTTCATGTACATAGTGGTTGGGTGTGCCTTCCACCAACAGGTAGGTAAATGATGGATGGTCCACAGTAATGATATATCCTGCCTTTTAGCTTTATTTTCTTTCTAGATTAAAGAGAAGGCATTGATACATGAAGGCATCAGTATCTGGCTACCATGAAAACACTCTATACACCCATATTCAGAGCATGGATTAAATATAATACAGTTGTTTTTTTCCTTACAGTAGAGCAGGCTTGCCCATTTATCCTTGTGACAGCATGCATGTAAAACCAAAATGAAATCAAAGCCCTGTAGACAGCAAAAGTCACGAAAGCTGCTTAATCCTTTCACGGCATCCTTTAGGGAAGCCTGGCCCTTGGCGAGTAATAATGTTAAATATGGACAACATCATATCTTCTCTTAGATTTTGACAGAATACATTTTTTTCCTAACACATTTTCCGGCATTTCCTTATAAAGTGCTGCATGTCACTGAATTTTAATGTGTATACACATAGGATCTTGTTTCAGGTTTTGTGTCAATAAAATATGGCAGTGTATTACGACAATCTACTTAGACTTTACCTAAATTGACTGTGGCTTCCAATCGTATGTTAAGAGACAGTCGGGAAAATCTAAGTGCATTTTGCCATCAACACCGCCCCTGAATTTTCCTAGAAAACAGTTGAGTTTCAGGCCGGAATAAAATGAAAGCAGCCCTTGGAGACTAAACCACTGAACAGATGCAGTGAGCCCTGCTTGGGAAGTATAGCTGTCACTTCAGATCTGTTCCACCCATCGCCTCCGTGAGCCAGGAGCAAGAGCTGCTGCCACTGTAATGTTTTAATAGTTCTTTTGAACAGACTGGAATGCTTGTTGGAAACCCATTTTTAAATATTTTGTTGTCTCCATGAACTTGATGTTCTGAGAACTAAAAATGATGAAAACTTGTAGTAGAACTTGTATCTCCTGTACTGTTAAGTTTTCATTTATGAATTTCTTTGCTTGCCAAACAAAATCAAAAATTCTTGATTTCATTACATTATTTACTACATTAAAGCAATCATGAAGTGGACTCTTGAAAAGAACTTCCTATCCCTATTCTCTGAGACTAAAGTGAATGCTCTATGTTTAATATACTAATGTGTACTTACGTTTCTTCTTTTTTTTCCTCCCACCTTTTCATTTTTTTCCACCTTTTTATTATGTATTCATTTATTTAGAGTAGAGCACAGCACAAAACCTATCCCACCTGGCAATTCGAAGAGTACAGTACAGTGTTAGCTGTAATTGCTCTACTGTTGTACAGGCCATTTTTTGAATTATTTTTATTTTTATTAATTACAGTTTATTCACTTCTTACTTTTCTTCTAATACTTAATAGCTTTATATATTTGCACACACAGCTATTATAGATCTATCTAATGTGCAAGAATAGGATTAGGTTATATCTAGACCATAATTAAGCTCTGAAAATACAGAAATAGTCATGAAATATTGAAGGTTTCTAACTCTAAGAAAATATGTAAAATTTAAGGTAAATGTATAAGATTGATTTATAATATTCAGATCAATTCATGGTATAGCAATAGACATGAATTGACTAGAAATTGTGTGAATTTCAGTAAGTATAATGATTCAATATTCTGTCGTAGTTTCTAATTTTCATTTTTAATGGGATTGCTTTAAGTTTCTCTCTGTTTAGTTTGATGTTGGCTATAGGCTTGCTGTATATCGCCTTTACTATGTTTAGATATGTGCCTTGTATCCCTGATCTCTCCAATACTTTAAACATGAATGGATGCTGGATTTTGTCAAATGCTTTTTCAGCATCTAGGGAGATTATCATGTGTTTTTTTTTTCTTTCAAACTAAGACACTATACAGAGCATAATGTTAAAACTTACAATTTACAAAGTGAGTATGTAAATTATCCCCATAGTCCTGATCAAATTCTCAAACCAAGTTTAAATTCTGTTTTTTCTGCATGGTAGAGTGTTTACTAAAGATTCATGATAATGGCATATTTTGTATATTGATGGGCATATTGCAGGATTCTAAATTAGAAATATTAATAGAGATAATGTCCTACTTAAGACAGTCTCAAGAGATTATCATATGTATTGATTTTTTTTTTAGATTGAAGAAAGGAGATTCTGAGAGAAACAGAAAACCCCAGATACTCCATAACACCCCAGCAGAACAGTAAGTGTTTTTAATGACCAAACAATTATAACCGCCCTTCTGCAAAATTAGATCATTTTTTTTTGCACAGATATCCACCTTCCAAATATTTAAGATTAGAAAGCAGAATCACAAGCAAGTGGTGCCTTCTGGAACTCAATTTCGATTCCCTGGAGCCCACTGGAAATGATTTATCCTCTAATCCTCTTAGATAAATGGGCAGGTAATCTGTGTGATGCATCTCTGGTGCTGAAATATTTAGGTTGACTCCATATATTTTTGAGTAATATTGAATCATTCCAAGAGGATAAAAGTGGGAAAATGTAATAAGTACAAGTGATTAGGTTCTTTTATGTGATAAAAAATTTACTGATTTTGGAAATTTGCTTGATTTATTTGCTATCTTTAAACAGAAGTACATAAAATAATAATATAAGAAGTCTTAAATCTGTAGCTTATTTTCCTATGAATTTTATTTTCTTCTTTAGCTATGATCTCCTACCAGTAATAGATTTTTTTAAATATATTTTTCATTAGGCAGAATTATGTATACCTTGTTGTCATCAAATTGTGATACATTTGGTGTCATTATAAAGAACACTGAGATGCAAGCAAGTATAAAGTTGAAATATGTGAATATCAGAACCAGTAAACAGGAATGTAACATCAGAATCCATATTAGTACCTACATCATATGACTTTAATCTTATGGTTGATTTGATAAGAGCTGGAAATTGTAGTTCTCCAAAAATCCAAACAGGAAATATGTTATAATTTCTCAGACCCCTAGCTGTAATATCACCATGAAAGCAATCAATGACCATTTTTGCTGATCTTTTACACAATTACTTTTACACAATTACTTGATGTATTGCTCCAGTTCACTGATAAAGTTCTCTGCATTTGCATTTGTCAATTAATGTAGGATTTAGCGAGGCATACTTTGGAAGGCTCACAGTTCTTATAGTGAGACCTGTTTATTTATTTGGAATAATCCTGAAGAAAATAATATGCTTTCAGGAAAGATGTTGTGTCTCTTCGTGCACTGCTTGTGAGTTAGGGCTGCTAGTCATCTCTGCTTGTGAGGCCTTCTATCTAACAAGTGTCCATTAAGTTACTCAGAGCTAAACACACAAAGAAAAAAACTGAGTCTAATCTAAACTATAATATTGCCTTAATATTCGTAGCTTGAGGGGGGAAAAAGCTGATAATTAAAATATTAGTAGGAAAAATTTTGGAGTGCATGGCATTTATATTGCACAAAAGTTTTGTGATCGAAATAAGGACTCAGCTATGGATAAAAATTGTTTTTAAATAATAATTTTCCTCTCAGTCTCTAAGTGCTCAGTAACACGATGAAGAACATTCTGGCCCACACTCGTTGATTACCCTAGATAATGATAATAACAGAGAGGAGACGTCAAAAAATCACTCAGACACTCAGGCATACTCCTTGGGAACTATTCATATTATTCTAGATTTGCTAAATCTCACTAAACACTTGTGGGAGTTGATGTTCTCAGTCAAAGTACAACTGTTATTAATGGCCTCACTTCCCTGGGATGACAAATAGAGTGTGAAGTTTCCATTTTAGTAAGAAATACGCTACTAGGAAAAAAAAAAAAAAACTTTAACCAAAATGTTTCTCTGTGAATAAATATTATTTGAAAATGATCTTCATAAGCTTATTTGAGTCAGTCTTTCATTACTAGAAGTAATAAGTCACTGTTAAAAAAAAAACCACACACACACACACACACAAACCTCTAAGCCTGAGTGGGGTTCAGGGCGGTGACATGGCGCTGGAGAGGGATGATGTCCTAGAGCTAGGAGAAACATGCAAGAGCTCTAGTCGAGTGTCCTCGTTCTACTGATTGCCTCCTCTGTTACATGGAGGGTGAGGCAGGCTAAGTCCTTTACCTGAGCTCTCATATCTCGCAACAGAACTGGGGATTCAGGTCTTATTAGCCATCTAACTTTTTTTTTTTTCCTATGTGTGATGTTGACTAAACATGCTTATATGGAGAGTGATGGTGGATGAATGGATGGACAGATTGAATACAAAGGAAAGAAGAGGACAAGAGAGAAGAGGGAAGGGGAGGGGAGGAGAAATGATGGGAAGAGAAGGGAGATTGACAAGAGAGGAGATACATGTATTCAGTATTTGCTTGTAAATACTACACTAGACATGGGATTTATTTCATTTGATTGTCAAAACAGATGAAAATGAGAACTAAATACTACATGAAGCTAACCTCCTTTTTAGGCAATAGATACAGTTACTATTAAAAAAAATCAATCTTTATTTTTCCCTTCTCAAGTTACTACTCTTAGCAAAGACAACTTGCAAAGGCAAGCAATTTTTCATTCTCCTCTATAAGTGACGGCACAAAGGGAGTAGAAGGAAAACAAAGAGAGCTGTATTATTGACTTGTAGTGAGAATTAATCTTTTCAAGATACATATCTTATTAACAGTGGTCAGATTACTTAATATTTTCCCTCGACATTTTATTTTAAAAATCAAAATGTAATTTTAAATTTTTGTTTGTTTCCTTCGGACATTGGTCGAAATGTTTTCTGTAACTCTCTCTCTCTCTCTCTCTCTCTCTCTCTCTCAGTAGATAAAGCATATTTCCTTGATGCAAGGTATCTTTTTAAAACAAGAAATGGTTTTATTGTAGCTAACTAGCTTTTAGAAATTCTGGATTCAAATCCCAGCAGCATCATTTATTAGTTCTGGTATCTGGGGCAGTGTAGTCTGCCTGTTCATGTCTTAAACCCTCCACTGAGTGTCTGTAATCATTTTGTGAATAAAATATTGCGGGATTAAATTTTCTCTATAGAGCTTAAATGAAATGATTCAGCTCTCTGAATAACCAGTTGTTGATCGTCTGTGATTCTGAACCACTCACTTCTCTGGGTGCTGCAGCTCACTATTCGGCGGCATTGTTTTTCTTTGCAATTATAAATGCTTATATGATTCAAGTCCCATTTCTACCACCTGCTGGCTCTGTGTCTCCAAAAACAGTGCGTACTCTGCCTCAGCCTCCTCTACGAAAGTGAAAATAACATTTATTTTATAAGATTTATATGAGAATGAAAAGATTAACTGCTTATTATAGATGTTCCTACAACAGCGTCAGTAAATAGTAATTATATAATTGCTATTAATAATGTCTCCCTTGGAGATATCAAAGGAACATTCTTTTAAAATTACACAACTTTTGCACATCTGTATGGGCTAAAGGAGAATGGAGCAACAAAGGAAGGTAGAAGCTGTCTGAAATTCTCTTCCTCCTTAAAGCAAATGTACATATTAGACATTTAGACATGAGGGGAGGAGTGAGCCCCACATAGTACTCAAGAGGCTCACAGCCTTTGATTGTCTTCTAGGCCCAGAGGGAGCTGAGTCAACAGGCACTACAATGCAAAGAGTGCCAGAAAGGACTTCTTCCTTACCTCCAGGTTATTGCATCCAGAATCATGCACATAAATTTGTCTGTCACACATGCTACAGAAGCAACAGTCCAAAGCACAGGGCAGTTTTTTGTTCTTTGTTTGATTCTCTCTCTTTTTTTTTCTTATTTTTTATACAATATGTCTTGACCACATATTTGCTCCCCCCCTCACACACACACCTCCTCTCCCTCCTAGGTCTTCTCCCTCTCTTTTTCTTGTTCAGGAAAGAGCAGGCCTCCAAGCAATGACAGACAAACAGGACAAAACAAGATATGATAAGCCAGTTTAGTGACACTGCCTCATATCTTTCACATAAGCACACGAACGTTTGTGTGTGGTAGCTGAAGTTAAATCCACAAAATTATTTTTCCACTAAAACTAAATATCGGAAACTAAAATTGCTTTTTTTATAGTGTGCTACTGTGATAAAGAATATTTATGCATTTATCAATCTTTGTGGTACCTCAGTTATTTGTCTTTGTTGAAGTCTTCGATCACTAAATTAAGTGGGAGTGTTGTTTTATTCTTTTTCATGAAAATCTCTTTATAATACTACTATGGAATATGGATATTAACCCTTCTCCCCCTCTTACTGCCAAATCGTATTATGCCTCTAAAGATATGTATACACCAACCTTAACAATTGCAACTCCCATTTCAGCAGAAAATAAAGTCATGGAAAGTGTTTTATACTTTTTCTTCCGTAAATTTAGCTTTGTGTTTTTTTTTATTCCAAAATACATAGAAGACTCTGCATAGGATCCACTGTATATTTGGCAACTTTTGTCTCTTGTTACTACAGTTATTATGTGTTATTTGTTCTGTTTTTATTCTGTTTTCCATTTTCACATGAATCCTGCAAAGGTTATTTTTATAAATTTATACAAAATGTTTTAGGCTGGGGGAAAACTTTTTCAAAGCTCAAAATACAACTTCTTCTAACTCATTTGAGACCCAAAGTCATAGTCTATGAATTCTCAGTAGCTTGAGATGTATTAAAAAGATTAGTTCCTTATAAGATAGGATAAACATACTAAAATCTATACACCTAAAGAAGCTAAACAAGAAGGAGGACCTGGAGTAAGATGATCAATCCTTACTCAGAAAGACAAAGGGGATGGACATTGGAAGTAGGAGAAAATGAGAAGCAGGACAGGAGCCTACCATAGAGGACCTCTGAAAGATTTTACCTAACAGTGTATCAAAGCAGATGCTGAGACTCATGGCCAAACTTTGGGCACAGTGCAGGGAAACATATGAAAGAAGAGGGAGTTAGTAAGACCTGGAGAGGACAGGAACTCCACAAGAACCAAATGTATCTAGGCACAGGGGATTATCTGATACTGTTTCTCCAACCAAGGACCATGCATGGATATAACCTAGAACCCCTGTACAGATGTAACCCAAGGCAGCTCAGTATCCAAATGGGTTTCCCTAGTAAGGGGAACAGGGACTGTCTTTTGGCATGAACTCTGTGGCTAGCTCCTTGACTTCCCCAATCCCCGTGGGAGGAGCAGCCTAGCTAGGCCACAAAGGAGGGCATTGCAGCCAGTCCTGGTGA